GTCTCCATCCCTGGGGACATTCCAACCCCACCTGGATGTGTTCCTGTGGGATCTGCTCTAGGGGATCCTGCTCTGGCAGGGGTTGGACTGGATGATCTCCAGAGGTCCCTTCCAACCCCCATCATGCTGTGATTCTGTGAAGCCATAACAACATGCATAGGAAGCAACTAAACAGTACATACATCCTTCAGAAGAGCCACACAACATTTCTAGAAACCATTTTTTCTTCATGAAAATGCCAAAATATTTTCAAGAACTTGTTAAAGCACAAATACCTTCTTCAACTGCTGTTCCTTAAAGCACCGAACAGTCCTGGCTGGTTCAGAAATTAAGTTCTTATAGTTCTCACAGATATTGAGTCGGGATTGGGCCACTTGCATTGTGCCTTCTAAAAGTGATTTCCAAACTGAGTACATGCTCCTGAAATAATGAAACACAGAAAGGTTATGGGAAGGAAGGAAAAGAGGCCAGGCACCACACTGAAAATATGCCTTGGTTTACATCAGAGCAGCACACATTCTTCAAAGGATTGCTTCTAAAAACAAAGCTAAAGCATAATCCTTCATGCTGACCTAACAAATATCTGGTCTTTTGAGAAAAACTTGAACTCAAGTTGTAGAAAACACAAAAAATTTCCCTTCTTCTCCTGTTTTGTGATTCAATTTTTTGGCAAACACTTTCAGTTGAAGCTGTTCCTGCCACAGAACAGACCCTCCAGAACCCAGCAGCCAAAGCCAGACCAGATGTTGACAATTTTTGAGAAAATCATGGATTTTTGTGGCTTTAGGCAACTTGCAATCATGCAAATAGTTACAGACTGTTTTGCCTTAGCTACCTGTAGTTCCTTCAAGATTCATACTAGGCCAAAGACAAGAACCATAGGTCTGGAGTGAGCTTTGCAGGGCCTCAATAATTCACCACCAAAGCTCAGGAGTGCCCAAGTCAGAAGGAGAAGGTGGAACAGGGCGAGCAGGGGAAGAAGGGGACAAGACCTGCCCTGCAGCTGGGAGAGAGGAAGGATTGCTGGAACCTGCAGAGCACAAGAACTTGCGGATAGGGAGGGAGGGGGTGGCAGGTGTTTGGAGAAGACCTGTGGGCATAGTGGGTGTAACTGGTGGCACAGAAGGCAGAAGAAAGGCTTGCTGAGTGAAGTGCAAGCTACAAGTAGGAGTGGTCTCTGTGCTGTGGGAGCATTTTATTACACTTAGGAATAAACTTAAGTTTATTCCTTCTTAAGACACACAGGGTGTGAACGTACAAATTCAAAACACAAATTTATCAACAACCTCTTCCTGTTTGAAATGTAACTTGTCAGAATACAAAGAACACATTTAAAATAAAGGGTCTTAACACTTTTTCAAAATATTTGGGAGGTCTAATCCAAAGGTGGGAGGCTTTCAGCAACGGAGTCATTTCTGCCTTTATGTTATGATCCACCTTTCATGTTCATGAAACTCAGTTATGTAAACAACTGCTTCTTGCTTTGCCTCCTTCTTGCTGTCAGATGGGATCTTCATGAAGATTGGCCTCCTAGAAAGAACCTGGTTGCTGTCTTTTCCTATGAAGAAATCCACACACTTAGCACTCTAACCTTAAAGCTATTAACTAAAATACATATGCAGATACAAGCATTACCACCCAAACAGGTTGACCAATTACAGCTGTTTCCCTCTCTTGCCATTTTGTTTTTCCAATCTTCCTGTATGATTCAAACAATAAACATCTATTTAAGACTAATCTCAGCAAAAAAGGGGAAAACAAAGCTTCATTTTTAACTAGCAAAGCTCTATAGCAAGGGAAAAGTAACATGTAAGAGGAGAAGAGCAGGGTTTCATAGTCAAGAAAAATAATTACACAAATGGAAATTACAAAGACATCTATTTTGAGATATCCAACTGTTAAATTACCTATAATCACTTCGTTCATCAGCTTTCATTCCCAGCCAGTCCTTCTTTAAGTATTGGCTAGCCAGCTTCTGAATGCTCTGTTAAAAGAAAGGAAAATAGGTCAAAAATAAGAGGTAATTAAAACATTTTTGCCCTGTTATCAAATGACAACCTGACATAGAGTAAATCAAAACATTAGCAAACTACTACCCCTTCTTATATTTTTGAGTTTAGCTGCTGTTGAGAACAATTCATGATTTTCATGTGGATAATTTAGTTCAGCTGAGATCAACACTGAAGATATTTCTGCATCTGCCTAATCCCAGCAAAACCAGGAACACAGCAGATGCCTAAGCAGTGTGTGGCAGAGTCAGAAGCAGGAATATTGCAAGTGAAACGTCTCAGTTTGGCACAGCTCTAAGAGTCAACATTTTGATTTAACTGAATGAGGACATGGGGATCCGAGAAACAATTAATTATCTGGTCATTTATGGGGCCTGAACTGAAAAGGTCAACTTTGACCACGTGAGGTTACACCATTAATAGTGAACTGAAGCTGCTCTGTTGCTCACAGAATCAGGCCTTCAATCAGAGGATTACAATAGACGAGAGCTTGAAAAATGTAGTTAGTTTTTAATTATTAATGCTAATTATGCTCTTTAGTGTCTGCATTTCACTTGGCAAAGGCTCACAAAATCAATAATAACATTTCCAGAGTCAAGCTCCGAGAGCAGCACAATTTAATTTGTAAACAATGTGAGGAGGGGGAGTTGCTGTCACAGCAGCCCCTCCTCTAGCCTGTAATCTCATTTAACAGTCTCTATCACTTATGAATTGAGCACCTTCAAATAGAAAAGAGGATGTTAGTAGAGTCAGATAATGGGTTTATGAAGACTGAGCAGCCTTCCAGCTTCTTCAAAATAACCATCTCCAGCTTTTGGAGAAAAGTCTCTTTTGTAAAAAGTGGAGACAGGGGTTGAAATTCCCTTTGCAAATAAAAAAAATCAATGCCCACAGATGCTTGCCAGGAGAATGCATCCTGGGGAAAAGCTAAGGGTGAATGAGACGCACAGCCCAGCACCATTTGTTCACATGTCCCAGACTACAGAATCATAGAATCCTACAATGGTTTGGGTTGGAAGGGACCTTAAAGATCATCAGGTTCCAACCTCATGTGGGGACATGAGCAGGGACACCTCCCACCAGACCAGGCTGCACAAGCCCCATCCAACCTGCCCTTCAACACCTCCAGGGATGGGGCAGCCACAGCCTCCCTGGGCAACCTGGGCCAGTGCCTTCCTGCCCTCATGGGGAAGAATTTCTTCCTGATCTCTGACCTCAATCTCCCCTCTTGCAGTTTAAAACCATCACCTTTGTCCTGTCACTGCCCTCTCTGGTGAAAAGCCCCTCCCCAGCTTCCCTGGAGCCCCTTCAGGCACTGGAAGGCTCTATTTAAGGTGCTGTCACTTGCTAGGACAGCATTTAAGCTCTCTTAGAGAAAAATATCAAAAGTATCCCAAAAACCATGACCAGATTTCATTCTTGTCTTACCAGCCTATCTGATAGTGAAAATTAATTACCAAGCTTACAATCTGATTGACATTTTCACATAGAAAAATGTTAATTGCTGCTAATGTATCAGTATCAGAAAACTTATGCTTCCTAATATTAAATATATCTATTTTATCTTAGAAGTCCAAGTCCAGCTGCTCTGAACTGATCTGCTGAGCTGGGTACCAGGTTTTGGTGTTAACGATGCTCACAGCCAGGTTTGCTCATTAATGGAACTCATTAATAGACCTCATTAATGTGTGTCCCACTGTGCTGTTATATCCCATTCTGAGCTTCCACCTCTTCCTGAGTTACCTTCCCCGATTTCCACTATACTTTTTGCTCAGTTAAGGATCATTTTCAAACTTCATGTCAGTATTTCATTCTTGACATGTTCACATACACAGTCAGCAATATCTTCCACAGCTAAAATTTAACCTGTAACTGTAAATTCTTGCATTTCCATTGCAGTTTCTTACATTTATTTTTTTAAAAAGATGCACAGATTGCATTATCTAGATGTTAAAACTCCAAGATAAAACGAAAAACAGCATTTCCTTTACCTCTGGCAGAGCAACCTGTGATGAGCTTTATCAGGTACCCCCACCTAATGCTATTTTCATGTTTCAATCCCTTCTGCATCAGACTCCACCTACAAAATCTGCCCCAAGATGCTGAACAAAGACACTCAAACACAAAACTAATCCCCAAAGAAGCTCATTGGCAGTTGAGGACAAGCTGTGGCAAAATGAAAGACACAAAAAAGTCCCAGCAGGGATAAGTAAAGCCATTTTTTTGCACATAGAAACCTTATTACTGATGTCAGAGAATCAACTATAAAACTAGCATGATTAATCATTTATATCCAAACTGAACAAGCTCATGACCAAAAGCAATGAAACGTGGAAGACAGGCCTCCAGCTGTACAGTGAAGATGTCTGATCATTTAGTATTTGTTCATGAAAACAGATAAACCACATGTTGGCATTTCATACAAAACCCCTGCAGGGGAAGGGACAGGTTTTCATTAGAGCAGTACAGTAGGTTTGCTTTCTTGAACTGCATGCTGAATGGAACTTCTTTTGTAGGAGAACCTTCCTGTTCCCTTCTCAATAACACTTCTTGTTTTGCTGTACCAAAACAAAGAATCCCACTGTTGGGCTCAAGCAGGGAAGTCAACAGATGGTTTAACCTTCGGCATGGCCTGACTTCACCCACAGCCCCGGAGCGGGCGCGTCTCGTCCCCCAAGGTGCAACTCGATCATGTCCAGCAGCCTTGGGATAATGACACTTGAGTGCAAGAATAAATGTGTAGAGAGGCAAGAAGTTTCTGCAGCACACTCTCCTGATTTCAATAGTTTCATGACACACTCCCTTAATACTGATTTAAAAGTGACTTTAGAGAATGGGACAAAGCTTTGCTGGGAAAAGGTGCTACCAAAAATGACAACGTGAATCGGAGAATCCCAGACTGGTTTGGGTTGGAAGGGACCTTAAAGATCATCCAGTCCCAACCCCCCTGCATGGGCAGGGACACCTCCCAGCAGCCCAGGCTGCTCCAAGCCCCATCCAACCTGCCCTTCAACACTGCCAGGGATGGGGCAGCCACAGCTTCTCTGGGCAACCTGGGCCAGGCTCTCCCCACCCTCACAGCCAAGGATCTCCTCCTAATGTCTAACTTAAACCTCCCCTCTTTCAGCTTGAAACCATTCCCCCTTGTCCCATCACTCCCCACCCTTGTAAAAATACCCTCCCCAGCTTTCCTGGAGCCCCTGCAGTGCCCCCCACTGCACCTTCACATCCATGCAAAGGCAGGAGCCTGCCTTCAAAACCTTGGACAGCTGAAGAAACACTAACACAATTTTTAGTATAAATATGTAAAACCAGAGTTCACCCAAACTACAATAATACTCTGCTCTCTTATTTCATTTTTCCACTCCATTCCAAGGTGTGTATCATTGAAGCAGAGCAAAAGTTCAGCTAATTATTTTCGAATGATAGCAACAATTGATTTATTTTTAAGGACAATGTTTTAAATCAATAATTATTGACATGAAAGGTCAAAAATGTCTGGAAACCCCTGCTAGCTCTCTGCAACCTCTGCTGACCCTTTGCTGAAAGAAATGTACTTGCTGACTCTGCTGGTTTGTGTTATTAGCACATTAAGCAGGATTTAGGAAGAGCAAATATAAAACAGTGTGAACAGACTGGCTGTCACATAAACCCAACTTCAGCTCATCTGAAGAAGACACAGATCATTCCTCCAGGCCTTGTTTTCCCTTCCTCCCCCCATCAAGAGCCTGTTGTATTAGGATTCTAAGAACACATCGACATCACACCCTCCTGGGTGCTTTAGCTGTGCAAATCTGCCTCACAGATGGGTGGATGAGACACAAGATTGTGTTCATCAATCACCCAAGGAATCAACAGCTAGGAATGAAATTGTGCTGAACAGAAAGACCACCAAAATATCAGCACAGCTTCACGCATGCTCAACTTTGTACTGCCCAGTATTTGATGTTCCCTGTTACCAGACCTTATCCCAAGTCTATTGATTGGGATTTTCTAACAAGTCCAGTTGTAAGAGACAATTGGGGGAGGACTAAAAAAATGAACATTAGCTCTAATGCTAACAGAAAGTAAGCAACTCCTGAAAGGAAAGAGAACAATGTGTCAAATTCAAAGACTGTTGATAGAAAAATATGCAGCTTTTAAAAAGACACATGAATGATGCTTTTCAAAGCAGTCCTAAGATCTTCACCTGTAATAATGGTGCTGATGACAGCCAGGCCCCCTCCAACCTATTCTTGATTGCAGAAAGCATGGTAGAGAGGAGCTGATATAACACTGAGGTTTAGAAAGTATCTATTAACCAGACAAATTTAGAGCTCTTTTCATTTAGGTGGTTTCAGTATCTTGCATCATTCTGATCACTTCTCTTTGTCAGAGCAGAATCCATCAACCCACCCCTTCTAACTTTCCAAAGATTCCAACTGGACACAAGAGGGAAATGTTTCCCATCGAGGACAGTCCAACACTGGACTTGTCTCCCAAGGGAAGTGGTGGATTCCCTCACATTGGACAGTTTGAAGCCTCAGCTTGACAGGGTGCTGAGCCACCTCCTATCAACTGGAGTAGTACCTGGAAAGGTTGGACCAGATGGTCCTTGAGGTCCCTTCCAGCCTGGCATTTTATCATTTGATGATTCATCTCCAGGGATGGTGATTCAATCACCTCCCTGAGCAGCCTGTTCCAGTGTCTAATTACCATTTCAGTGAAGAAGTTTCTCCTAATATCCCATCTAAACCTTCCCTGGCACAACTTGAGACCATTTCCTCATGTCCTGGCAGATAATGTCCTGTCCGCTTAATAGTCATTAACTACTAAATTATGTTAATACACCTTTTTTCTAGTTCGAAGAGCAGCTTTTCCAAGAGCTGATCACTGACAAGAGACCCAAAAAAATAAAGAATAAATAAAATGCATGCATGTCAACTTGCTTGACTGATCCTTGAGATCCCTGCTCATGTATTATGTGCTCCAAGCA